CGCCCATGGGGAAGTGTAACTCGCATGTCAATTAGCCAACACGGTGGCATTGTAGCATACCAAACACGGTGTCACGTAGTATAGTATCGACAAGGTTTGATTATAGCAACTCACTACTCTACGGGACGTCTGGCAATTTTTTTTTTTTTACCAGGCTGCAGCATGTACTAAACTCTTTGGCACGTGTGGTGACGCGCACTGCAAAATCTGACCATGTCCGTACAGTGCTCTTCGAGCTCCATTGGATTCTGGTTGCTGAACGAATACATTATAAGGTCGCATTCATTTCACACACAGTGCTTGCCACAAATTAACCAGAATACCTTACTGATATCATCAAGGAGCATAAAACATCACGCGAACTCCAGTCATCCTCACAGCAGCAGCGGCTTTTGGCTAATGAACAAAGGCGGTCGCCGCATCGCGCGCTTTCAGATGCGCTTCTGCGGCCGTCTGGAACGCTCTTCCTTAGGAAGCCACTGGAGCTGCGCACTTTTACATCATCTAGATTGAAAGCTCATTTCTTTAGAACTGCCTTTTTGTGTTAAGTTTTTTGTCTTTCCCTCGCACCTCTGATTAGCACGGTTGGCTACGTAAGGTGCAAAAAAAGTTCAACACACATACGTACAAATTGTTGGCGGTTCTGTTTTCGCATTTTTGACGTCGCCGGGCCATAAATTTGGCCCAGATAATTTACGTGCCCCGACCCCAAAAAATATCTGCTGTGAATCGCACGGTGGTTAAAGCGACGCGACACATGACCCGTCCCCCCATCACGGGGCCCGAGGGTCACGTGACGGCTTCTTCACCGCGCACTTATCTTGCCACCCTTGCTGTCGTGCGGACCCTCCAGCCGTGCAAGGCAGCGAAAATTGCAATGTGTATCGACGCCCGTTGCACGGTACACCTCATGCAAGCTGTACATATTATTCCAATGCGTCCAAACCGCCCGCCCCCTCCTGCCCCTACACACGCGGCCGGCTGCGAGCGAACGCGTCACGCGCGCCAGAGATCGCCTTTACAACGCAGCCGCTGGCTCGGCCGACTCCAATACGGTCCAAATTTTTTTTTTAAAAAATGTCACGGCGCAACCCTCCCGAGTCGTCGCCTGCTCGCTCGCTCGCTCACGCCACGTCGTCTGCCGGAACAGCCTCCACGAGAGGAAACCCCTCGAGCGTATTTGGTTTACTCTTCCACGCCGATGAGACGTTGCCAACAGCGTACCCCGCCACACGCGATTGGACACAAATGTGACTGCGAAGGGGAGTATATGGCAGAGAGGGGGTGAAGCTGACACTCTGCTCGAAGAACGTTTCACAGGGAGCGAGGGAGAGCCAGTCAAAGGCACAACAGAAGGATATACTGTATGGTGTTGAGTCTGAGTCTACACAGATGGAGGGCTTCGGTAATGCAGGAGCAGAGTAGGAGCAACCTCCCAATTGTGTGCACACGCCTCATACATTAGTCCGTTAGAGCCCCCACCGCACTCCCCACCACTGTGTATTTGTATGTACTTGCGAATTTGTTGATTTGGGCTCTAGGTCCTTACCTGGTTAAAATAAAATAAAAAAATAGTTCATAGCTCAGTTAAGCTTTGAAATGCCATGGGGCTTGATCGGGTCGTTCTGATGCCAGGCCCTATCGTGCGCGCCGTGCCGCCGCGTATAATATTGCACAAAATAAATACAAATAAATCCCGGACGCTGGTACTTAATCCCCCTCCCCCGTAATCCCCCATGGGCTTAGCTGGCGCGTACGTTCGCCGTAGACACTATTTAGTGGGCTTTCACGTGACGGGGCAGCAATGTGTGTACGTGCGGCCATCGTGGGATTTGGGTGGCTTTTGTGGGACGAAGCGTTTGATTTTCGGTGCCGTCACCAAAAGACATCGCCTCGATTTCAGCCTGTCACACTCTGGTACTCGATCGAGCCACTTCATTATTCATTTTATTACCGCTTCACTTATTTTACCCAGGAAAGCCTCGCCGAGTCTCTTCTTCGGGAGGGTCCTGGAAAGCTGTCGCAGTTGGGGTGGCGATGATTGCTGCTGTGTGTTACCCCCTGTCGAATAATTTGTGGTAGCGATTTTTCAAATTGTAGGGCACGCAATGGCCTACTCACGGGGTCTCTAACATCCATTGCGAAGCGGACGGCACGGGTCTATAAGTCACAGTGGCGTAACATGGTTGGCGTGGGCCCTGGTACAATGTATATGTACGTATGTTGAACTTCTTTCTCACCGTACTTAGCCAACCGTGCTGATTGGATTGCACTCCCCCCCCACCCTCATTTTCATCTCCTACAGGGCAATCAGAGCTTAGGATGACACCAGGGGTTGTAGAGTTTATTGAAACAATTTCGATTTAAAGCTTTCGTGACTGCAGGGATTCATCTTCTTGGTTCTGCGCTGTCTTTCCGACAGCTCTGTTTCTTCACCTGAGGACGGCTGCTTGTGTTGTGGCCGAAACGTCGTGAGAATTTTATTTTATTATGTTTTATTATTATTCTACGTGACTTTACCGAAAGAACCAAGAAGAGTTATTGAAAGAGTTTATTGAAACACGCGGTTTTAGACAGGCTTTCATTGCACTGTAATCGGTAATGTGTGTGTGTTGTGCTGCGTTGTGTGACTGAATCGTTTCGTTAACAATGCAATACTTTTGGAGAAAAAATGAAAAGGAATGTGATGGGCCCCCCACTCTTTGAAGCCTGGTGCCTCAGCCACTCACTGGCCCATGGGATGTGTCTGTGATCTGCCTAATTGGTATGTGAGAGTTATGTCAATCCCTGCTATCCCAGTAAAACAAAAACTTTGTGTCTTGCCATGCTAAAGTGCTTGATGCTGTAGTATTTGAAAGTGTCTGCCAGTCATCTCAGGTAGTTAACTCGTAACATCTGGGTCTCGGTCCCATGACCCCCTGCCTGCAAGCCTTCCGACACTTCACGTGGCCTCAAAGTGCACCGGGCTAGGCATAAGTGCTGCTGTGGTGATGTCACCGCCACTTAGTGGCGAATGGCGGCTGTTGTTGTGTTGCGGGGAGTGGTGGTGCAGTGGTTCACGCTATGCCCTATGAACCCGGTACAACCTGGGTTTGAATCCACGCCGTAGCTAAATTACTTGGCAAGTATTTTTTGATTTAAAGCTTTCGTGACTGCAGTAATTCATATTCTTAGCTCTTTCGGTAAAGTCACGTTGAAGGGAAACAATAAAATAATAAAATATATATAAAACAATAAAAATTATCACGACGTTTCGACCATAACACAAACGGTCGTCATCAGGTGTGAAAAAATAAATAAATGCAAACCGACACTTCTTTCAAATGTTTCTTGCCGTTGGTTTTTTCACACCTGATGACGACCGTTTGTGTTATGGTCGAAACGTCGTGAGAATTTTTATTGTTTTATATATATTTTATTATTTTATTGTTTTCCTTCAACGTGACTTTACCGAAAGAGCTAAGAATACTTGGCAAGTAGTGTCTGAATCTGTACCGGACCTCCCCAAGATGAACTCAATCTTAAAGGAGTGCCTAGTGCGGTGTGTGAACGTCAGCACAGGTGAGACAAAAACTGCCGTGCATGATGCTGGTCAACAACACCCTCCCATGCATCAAAACGGTCTTAATAGGTGCTCGCTAACACTACTTGTCACAACAGCCGATTTCATCGCTGCCATCTGGACTCTGGGCACCCACTGTGGCTTGTTCCCTCCTTTGTAACCATTTCCGTGGGTTCATCATCATCATTGATGGTATCTCCACTGATGGACAAAGGCCTCCTCAAGCCATTGCCATCTCTCGCGGTTCATAATGAAGGTTTTTGGGTTAGATCGCGTTATTTATAAATGTGTCGTAAACCTCCACCACCCGACACGGCCAATCAGCAAAACAGTGTCACGTTGACAAAAGACAAATAATTCACTACTTTAGCCCACCGGTGTGTTGAATTCTTTGTCTTTTGTCAACGTGACACTTTTTTTGCTGATTGGCCGTGTCGGGTGGTGGAGGGTTACGACACATTTATAAATAACGCGATCTAACCCAAAAACCTTTATCATGAATAATATTGGTCGCGAAAGCCTACGTGTATCTCTCGCGGTGTCAATGATGCAACAATCCATTCCATGACAGCCTTGATTATCTTGCCTGCATACATTCTCTCCAGGACATGCCTTGCCCGCTGATCCTGTGGGCCCCTCCGTTGCTATTTGTGAAGCGCTCCTTATCTCATGCTTCTGCGAACACCTGGACCCTGAGACAAGCCTGTTTGGAACAAAAGCTAATTACACCCAGCCATAGGGGGTCGGCACTTTCCCCTCTCGCCAATAAAATTCAACCTCTCTTCGTTTTTTTTCGGGGGCAGTTCCTCCGTCCCCTGGGGAAAATGAAGACGGCAAGAAAGGTGGCCAATATACGACTTGAACTCTGTCAACCGAGCAGCCTCAGTCGTCGTGGGAAAGTAATAAAAGGGAAAGCAGACAAATCCTGATTAAAGGGCCCCCAGAAATGTTTCGTCCCGACACTAATTGGCGCCGCCGCCGCTGTAATTCGCGACACTCTTTTCGGATGAATTCTCCCCGCTGGCGCGTCTCCGAGTTTAGCCGTGCGACATTGCTTGGCCACGGCTCGCGAGAGGCGGCGGGCGGGGGGTAGGGGGGGGGGGCGAATTCGCAAAAGCCCCTCCCGGTACCGCCGCGCGGCGCTCCTTGACCCGCTCTCTGTGTGCGTGCGCTCGGTCCTCTCCTCTCCACCCCCCCCCCCCCCCCCCCCGAAGGGTTAAACGACAAACAAAAAAACCCCACGCGGGATCGCACCGTCCGATTACACCGCGGAGAGGACTCGAGCGCGCCGAGCGGAGCGTGTCTGCCGGCCGGGCTTTCGGAGGAGGTCCGGCGTCGCGGGTTTCTAACGTGGACGCGCGGGCCCGAGCCGAGCGGCGCGGCTGGTCACTGGCGGCGGGCGCTGACGGCGTGCGCGTGTGCGCGTGTCCGCTTGCAGGGCCGTTCCGCGATGGAGCAGGGCCACCCCGGCCTCGGCGTGAGGACAGAGGTAAGGGCCGCTCCACTCGGTTGTTGAGTGGGCCTCCGCGGGCCTCCGCGGGCCTCCGCGGGCCTCCGCGGGCCTCCGCGGGCCTCCGCGGGCCTCCGCGGGCCTCCGCGTGCGGCGCGTCCTGTTGTGCCGCCGCCGCCGCCGCCGTGCGTTGTTCGTCGCGACGTCCGACGTTTCGCCCCGCCTGTGTGCTGTGCCGAACAACAACGACCCGAAAACAGATCGGGAAATATTTGTCGTATGTCCGATGCCTGCTGTGCGCCGGTGACTGACCTTGTACATTTTTTTTCATGCAGTTACTTGCTCGATGCTTCAATCACTCGCTCGCCGAATGCTACAAAGCTCTTGCTGTCGTTTTGTTTGTAAACTCGGTTTATAGGCAGTAACGGCGTGGAATTATGGAGGGAAGGATCCACGAAAACCCCCGCCCCTACCCCAGCGATTCCGCGAAAGTATTTGTCGTCGATTCGCTTTTTGTGAGATGTGCCAATTGCTCGCGAGTCTTTCGCGGCCGCCGGGATGACGTTCAACCCCATCGCACCCCAGCGCACGCCCGTCGCGCCACTTCCGTGCCTGCGTCGTCATCTATCGTAATGATAACGAACACAAGGATCACGACCGATATTAATGAATGGGCGCGTCGTTTGTGGCCCGAGTCTGAGCGAACCTTCGAAGTGTCGAGAGAACCACGGGCGTGATTGCCCTCCTGTGCGGCGGCCTCCGTTTTCAGCGCGCCGTTGCGAGCGCGTGGTGTTTATTTTTCCGTCTCTTCGTCAGCTTCCTTTGCAGCAGCGCCTCGATTCTGGCCGATCCACACAATCGCTCGAACACGACGGTGCAGTGCTACAGCCCCCGCTGTTCCCCACCCACCCCCCCCCACCCCCAAGCAGTTGCTGGATTGTGAAACGGTTTACCCGCTGCGTCGTTCCCATTGTCCACGAGAATGGGAACGACGCGGAAAAGTGTTGCGCAAAGAAGTTACAGAGAGAGCAGGTGGCACGCTCGGAATTGCGCTGAGCCACAGACAAACACACACATTCACGTATGTATGTATGTATGTTGACCTTCAACATTTACAATCCGAGTACGACATTTCGCACCGGTGTGTTGAACTAGTAACGTTTTGGCATGTTTTGTCTTCGTGACTCACCTTGCTAATAGGTTGTGTCAGGTGGTGGGTGGGTGGGGGGGGGGGTTAACGGCACATTTATATTTACGCGATCTAACCCAAAAAAACCCCTCTTATGGATAATGTTGGTTCGCGAAAAGCCGACGTGTTAAACTGATGTTGAACTTCTTTCGCACCGCACGTAGCCAACCGTGCTAATCGGAGGTGCGAGGGAAAGACAACAATCTAAACGCAGTTCTGAATAAATGAGCTTTTAATCTAGATTTAAAGAGTGCATAGCACCAGTGGCTTCCCCATATCGGAACGTTCCAGACGGCTGCAGAAGTGCATCTGAAAGCGCGCGACGCAGCGACCATCTTTGTTCGACGGTCAGCCAAAAGCAGCAGCAGCTGCTGCTGCGAGGATGGCCGGAGTTTGCGTGATGGTTTATTCAGCGGTGGATAGATTATGGCTGATAAATATGATGACGATGATGGCTGACGGGGAAGGTGGTGGGACTAAAGGTTCCCGGGGAGGGGGCGGGCTGGAGGGTAAGCGAGCGTGAGATTACGAGGACCCCTTCCCTCTTCCTCCGTGTTTGTGTCGCGGTGAGCGAACGGTTTGTGGCGGCCAACGGGCCAAAGGGGAGGTGGGTCGCACGTCCGCTCTGTGTGCGAGCGAGCAGCTTGCCTTGACGGCGGGTCTCCCCGATTGGAGCCTCTCACCACTCGTGGGGGGGGGGCGGGGCTCGATCGAGAAATCCGTTGCCCTCCTGGAAATCGGCCGCCACTGACGGTGGAGACGATCGAATTTTGCGGCATTGTGTTGCCGAGTCCTTCATATCGAAAACGCAATTAACGAGTTCGGCCGTGGACAATTGCCAGAACGCAGTGTGGACATTTGTCCGACTGCCGGGCCGAACGGCAAAACAAGCGGTTTTTTTTTGGTCAGCGTGTTGCTGCCACTGCTACTGCGGCAGCTGCAGCAGGTTGTTGAATGAAATACATTAACACGTTTTTTACTGCCAGATCACACACTATTGAAATGTGCTGAAATGCAGGCTCAATTGGGAAATGTGTTTTTGGTCTGAATGCAAATGCTGCTGCTGTGCGAAACACATTTGCACGTTGCAGCTCCCGCTATCAACAATTGTTCTCGTGCACCGTGTGTTTTCAGAGTACTATAACGCTTTCTTGGAGACGGCGGAAGGCAGGATCGGTGGCGCGGCGGTTAGCGCACTGTGCGATAAATATGGCGAACCGAGTGTGATTTGGGGCCACGTTGGTTATCACCACCGGCGAGTGATACCTGAGCCGGTCCTTCGACAATCTGCAACCGACCATTGTGATGAAGTATGGTCAAACAATGCCTACTATCACCACAACATGGGGTGGGGGGGGGGGGGGGTGCTTGATCCAGCAGTGGATTGACAAACGACTGAACATTTATAATCGTATATTTGCCATTCTTTTTGGTATTTCAATCCACGATATATATTAAAAAAAATCTACTTTTAATTATTTTCTACATTTCTTGAACATGTTGTCCAACTGACCGATGGCGGAGGGTCCGAGTGCGGGGGAGGAGGAGGAGGAGGAGGAATACCTTTCCAGCAATCTTCACTTCTCCCCTGGAAGTTGCTCCGTGCCTCTACGCGATAGATGGCAAGACGGAAGCGTCCGGTGGTCGTGTAGTAAAAAAAAAAAAATCCGATTTGCTTTTTAAACGTTTCGGTAATCTTCGCGCGTTTAATGCCCTGCAGCCAGCGGATGGCCGTTTTTGAAAATAATCCGAGCTTGCATTGAGTGCGTCTGCACACAGATGTGTGTTTTAATTGCAATGAGTTCAACGGCGACCGCTTGAGTGGCGGGTGTTTGGGAGAGAGGTGGGTTGGGGGGAAGTATGCATTAGCCACGCACTTTTTGCGTATCCCCTAGCCAATGGATACGCAGTTCCGTAGCGTGCACGGAGCAGCGTGGCGCCAAAACTGGCGTTCAATCGCCGGGGCTTCTTCGTGCCTTTATCTCACGTCGATTGATGTCCACATCTCGAGTTGTGCTCGAGCGGCATTGTGGATACTGTGATGGAGAACGTTAGTGGCAGTGGCGCGTCCCTTTGTCACACGCACCGTTGGGTAAATTGCCTCCCCCCGCACACAACTGAGTCGGTCTCCGGGGGCTCGTTTAGCCGTACTTCACCACGCCGCTCCCTGTGCTCGTCGGTGTGGGACTGTTGGTGCCATTCGCCACGGAGGTTATAGCCGTGGCCGGATATTAAACTCGCCGGGTTCATAGCGCAATGCACTACCCCAACTGCGCCCGCCTTGTTTGTTACCGTTTTAACCTCATGGTGCGTATGGTAAACGTGGACCGCCATTTAGTCAATCGACTGCTAGATGAGGGCCTTCCTGCACTGTGCGTGTCATGGGGGTTGTGCGTGACGATACTTGGCCACGCTGTAAGCCACGGTATTTTTTGTTGTTACGTTTTCTGATCGGTTTTCGGCTCACACGTCATAGTGTTTTTTGTTTTTTTTAGCCGTCAAAAAATGTTTCGCGTGTGAGTGGCTGCTGTTTAGCGATAATGCCTCAATATACTGCGAGTGGGTGAAACCCCCTCCGTGAGAAGGAATCCATATCTCGTAGCGGAACATATGTACGAGAGGACGATTTAATGTAAAATTTCGCCTTCGGCCGTGGATACGCGGTGCGTGCATTTACACGACGTGCACAAGAAGCACCGGGGCACGTCGCAGATGAGTGATGTTCGTACATTTCGTCCGGCGGAGAAATTGTCACCCAGCGTGTTACAAGTGGCGGAGAATTGACGAACTAAAGCACCGATGATGAGCTACCCTGCTGCATGCTCTCGTGTTGCCAAATTTGTATTGGTATTTTTTGGTATTTTAATAAGCGATGTAAAAGCTACTTTATTATTTTATTTATTTAACATGTTATCCAACTCACCGAGACTGTTACTGAACCGACTGGAAGACCCCATACATTGAATGAATGCAGCCTCACCACCATATTATCCATTATTAAGTATTTCTTTCGAACTCATTTTCGTGTTCAGTTTCTTGTCCTTCTCTCGCACCTCCGATTTGGCACAGTTGGCTTCGTAAAGTGTGAAAGAAGTTCAACGTTCATACATTTAACGTAAATGAGTGTTTCAGTTTATTTGATTTGTTACGCGGATTATCCCATTTAGCCAGTTGGCCAGCTACTCTACGGAGGAAGTCCGTGGATTGTGAGCACAGCAGCAGCTACAAAAACAAAGACATAAATATTGCAGAGGACGAGAGCAGTGTCCTTAAGGAATATTGCCCCACTTACAAACGAGAGAATAGCTGGTAACGATGTGGCCCTGTAATTGCTTATTACTTGTTGACGCCATTGCTCGCAAAAGGGCCTTACTGGAGGGAGCTCGTGAGCAGTGTTTCTCCACTAATTTTCAGATGGGGGGCAGAGGTGGGGGCACTTTCGCCGATAAGACTTCATCAGCGTGAGGTCCACCATGCCGCCTGCAAGGGGTTGTTTTCACACTTGTGTATTGTCGGGGCTGCCAGTAGCTCGCGGGCCTTGCAATGAAGAACCACTGCTCTCGAAAGCGCCGCTAGATGGGCCTTCTTATCCACGCTGGTCAGACGTCTTGCAAGAGGTGGGAGTACCCACACTTTACCCCACCACATGCAACCTGCCCAGTAACTAACCGCGGTATAACCTGTTTTAACCACTGGGTGGGCAGAGGAGTTTGTGGGTGGTGGATTGACCCAACTTTGCCCCTTTATTTCAGCTGCGGTGCTGACAGATGCTGCCGCGGTGCAGTGGTCACAGCCGCGTTCTGAACCTGCGATCCAGAGACTTGGCTTATGGTTAGTTAGTTAATCTTCT